TGAGGGTAAATTCCTTCCCCTCCCCGTCTTCGTCCTCCCCCTCTCTGACATGGCAGCTAGTGTTCAGTGAGGGTCTATTACCTGCCACGCTCAACATGTTTTTTTATCCAATCCTTCAACATCCTGAGGAGGTCTGGGATCTGATGAGGAAACTGAGGCAGCAAGAGGCTAAGTGCCAAGTCACACAGTCGGTGGCAGAGCAGGTGAAGGGAGGCTGTGCTTTGAGTCCCCGTTCAGGTTACTTCGTCATTCCGTCAGGCTGCCTTCCGGGTCGGGGCGGGCGAGGCCATGTCCTCAGAGCTCCTTGCATCTGCCGTGAAATAGCTCTGTTGTGTCAGGAACAGGGGTGAGGTCCCAGCAGTCAGATCCGGGAGCTGCGGAGTGTTCTCGCTCCTCTGTTCCTGGACAGGCACAAGGGCCACAAGGGCCACAGACAGCAGGGCTTGACCTCTGGCCCCTTGGTTCTAGAGTCCAGATGGTGCTCACCTCACCTGGGAGCCGCCGTCTGTGACCTCTGGCAAGATCATCGAGTACTCGGTGTACCTGGCCATCCAGAGCTCGCAGGCCGGTGGTGAGCCCAAGAGTTCCACCCCGGCCCAGCTGGCCTTCATGCGGGTGTACTGCGGGCCCAGCCCCTCCTGCCTGGTGCAATCCTCCAGCCTCTCCAACGCCCACATCGACTACACCACCAAGCCCGCCATCATCTTCCGCATTGCTGCCCGCAATGAGAAGGGCTATGGCCCGGCCACCCAAGTGAGGTGGTTGCAAGGTGGGTGTCGGTCAGGAGGCTCCTTGGGCAGGCCTCACGTGAGGTGGGGTGACACGGCTCCAAGCTGGGCTGAGAGCTTTACACGAGGGCGTTGAGGGACATCACCTAGGGTGGGTGCTATGGAGGGGTCTCATAGGGGGCACCTCGCCTCATCTGCAGGTTTGGGGAAAGCTGTCCCAGGGCTGTTTTGAGGTGAGATGGGGGACTGTACAAATTCCAAGTAGGAGGTTCCAGGGGGCAGGGTGGGAAATGGACGCCCCAGGATGCCCTGTCGGGCTTCACGCCAGTTCCCATGAGGCCGACCAGGGAGAACCGTGAGGGCCTCTACCTGGGCCTAGGGCGACTGCGAGAGGTGGCGCACACAGGAGGGGCCGTCACTCTCCACAGGCCTCTGTAGGGTGTGGGCAGGGTGCCCCTGTCTCCTCCACTCTTGTTCTCTTGGCCTGTGGGCTGCTGTGTGGCTGAAGTCGGCCGGCCCTCCCACCTCGCCGAGCTGCTTACCACTCCGTCTTTGCTTTCAGAAACCAGTAAAGACAGCTCTGGCGCCAAGCCAGCCAGCAAGCGGCCCATGTCCTCTCCGGAAATGTAAGCAGGAAGCCCCTTTTGGGAACCTTCTAAGGCTGGGGGCAGACAGCTCCTGGGAGGGGGCTCTGCTCACAGGGTGTGAGCTTGTGTGAGGCCCACCTGTGGTTTCCCAGCATCATCAGGACCCATGCTGACGCTTTCTCTTTCCTTTTTCTTGTCTTCTTCCAAGGAAATCCGCTCCAAAGAAATCTAAGGCAGATGGTCAGTGAGAGGCAGCTCCCCTGCACCTGGATTGTTCGCCAGACCCCCCCCCCCTTCTGCTTCAGGAACGCCACCTGCCAGGGCCCACCCATCCTACCCACCCGGCGCTCACACTTCACCCTCAGGAGCCACTGGCCGCTGCCACTCATTCTCTCTCTCTCTCTGTTTTTGAAATAATCTCAAGAAAGCACATTTTACCATTGCTGTGGGAGGAAGCAGAAGGCAGATCTGGAAGAGCAGTGAGCAAGTGAGACAAGTGTGCCCTCCTCCCCTCTTCTCCTTACCAGTGCCCTTCTCTGGGAGCTGAGCAAGCCTGGAATTCCGAGGCCCTGGAGGGAGCTCGACAGACGCTTCGGATGAAGCGGCCGAGACGCAGAGAACGGAATGCACGCACCTTCCAGCACCTGCACGCCTCTTGCAGTTTGTCACCTTGGTCCTGAGGGGGGCAGCCAAGGGCGGGAGGGGCTGCAGCATGGAAGCAGAAGAAAGGCACGCCCCCCCCCCGCCCCCAGCTCCCCTCCCCTGCCTCTGCTCCGAGAAGATTGGCGGGGCACCCGTGCACTCGATGTCCATCTGGTTCCATTTTCCTTTGTTACTTTTGGATATCCTGCCACCTCCCGACCCTGGGCTTCAGCTTTGTCCAACCCCGTCTCAGCGGCCTTCGTACTCCCACCCCTTGCCCCTTCCTTCTTCTTTCCCAGTTAGAGAGCTAGAAAGGAAGAAGAAAGAAAGAAAGAAAGGGGGAAGAATGAGCCCATGGTGGCCTGAGCAGTGTTCTGTGCAAATCTCCTGACTCCCAGCGGGGCGTAGAGTAGCCCCCACCGAGCCTGGCTTTGGCCCCTGGGTCGGGGCTAGGGGCCACACCACCCAACTGCTGCATTTGTTGTATTTTTTTTAAGTTGGAGTTGATGAAGTTAACATTTTTATTGTAATTTTAGCCTTAGTGTGTGGGGTTTTGTCCCTTTTTTTGTTGTTGTTGTTAGCTGTGTACAGAATGTGTATCTTTTTTTTTTTTTTTTTTTTTTTTTTAACTTTTACTTTTTTCTCCTTGGCTAAGCCTTGGCAGGGATCTTTCTGGAAGAAAAGCTGGGGGCAGCTGGCACAGGAGAGGCGTGGATTCTCCCCTGCGGGCCTGGTGTTGGTTGCCTGGCCCAATTTCCTCTTGCTGGCCCCTGCCGTCTGCCCCTTTGCTTGTCCCCAGGCCTCTGGGACAAAGGAGGGGTGAGCTGTCAAACCTCACTCCCCATGGGTGATTGCTCTACACCTGTAGGATTGAGCTTGAGAGTCTGCTGGAGCCTAAAGTCAGGTTTCTGAGGAGGAGCAGGTGCTGGGTTCGCAGGGCTCTCAACATCCTCCCCACCCCCCTCCCTATGACCCCCCCAGCCCCCAGGCTCCCTCCTTGGCAAACTGGCTTAGAGTATCTGCCACCCTCAACTGCTGCTTCCTGCAGCCACGCCCTCCAGGCGAAAGTGTCAAAAGGGGTGGGGTGAGGGGTTGGGGGGCAACTCCCATCTCAGAGAGCAGCCTGGGAGAGCAGATGTGTGGTGTCACCCAGGAGAGACCATGGGGAAGCAGCAGGCTACCAGCACCAGTTCTGTGGATTTACAGGGCCACGGCCATCCTCCCAGGGCCGAACTTGGGAGGCTTGGGGCACTTCTTAGTGTGGCTCGTGAGACAGCTTTCTGCCCCACACCCAAGCTTCAGGCACTGAGCAAGGCTTGCCAGCGGGTTGTGCAGAAGGATTTAGAGCGAGCAGTCAGTCTTTTCAGAGCCCCCCCATCTCTGCCCTGGAGATGAGCTGCAGTGAGGGGCCCGGCCTCTGCAGACCCCTGCCGCTGGCCCGCACCTTCTGGGGCCTCCGGTTCGTTGTATTATAGTATATTTCGCTGTGGACAATGTCACGTTTAGTCCGTCACCTTGGAGCCACTCGCCTGTCCCTTCTCCTGAGCGCCCTTTGATTTCTCTCATTTCTGAGAACAGTACGCCCCGTTCATCTTATTGTAGAGTAACCCCTGTGACTCAATATTACCATAGTGCGATGTCGTTTTGTGCTATTTTGAACAATTAAAAGACTTTTTTTGAAATAACCACCTGCTCTTTCACTGTGTCCAGGACTCCCAGGGAGGAGGCTGGAGGTGTGATGCCACCACCCACCCCCGTGGCTCACCGAACCCCTGGGAGCCTCTTGCTCAAAGGGCAGTTAGCAGGGTTCCCGATTGCCTCCCAAGTTTCAAGGCTCCACCGAGGCCCACAGTCCTGGGGACTGAGCTGGGCCAGGACCTGGTTCCCCACAAAGGGTCCCACAGTAGCCATGGTTTAGAGGCCAAGGGGCTCCCTGCGCAGCTGCTGCCAAGTCCCTGTCTAGAGACCAGATCGTCTTCCCTCACTTCCCCACCCAGAGGACAGGGGACTGGGACAGGACTGGCAGGTCACCAGCCACTAGCCTCCTCGGACGGGTGGGGAGGGCTGAGCTGGGCTCTTTCCACTGAGCGCTCAGGTCCCCAGAGCACTCCCCAGGATAGACCTGGGTCGCCCACGGGGTGGTCCCCGTGTCTGAGGCTCAGCAGGTGCTGTAGGAGTGACTCCTCTCCCGCCGCTGGCTCCCTCGTGCACACGAGTCAGGCCCCCAAGAGGAGCAGAACTGCTATGGAGCAAACTCCGGCAGTCCAACTGGTGGTGGTATCGCTAGCGTGGGTGGTATAGCCAGGGTTAAATGGATGGGATGAGTCCTTCGTGCCAAGTGGCCAGGAGGAGCCGTGCTGTGACTTGGTGCTCGTGCTAGGGACCCGAGGGGCATGGGGAGATGTCCGCATTACCCTCTCATCCGGTCGTCCCATCTCTGCCCTTTGGGGGGGTGTGCCCACGCCAAGCCAGCTCATGGCCACCTCTCCTGGGAAGCCTCTCAGGGCAAGCCTCTCCCTGGTGCTCACTCCACCGGGTTCACGGTGTCTCATGTTGCGTCCTGTCCTGTTGATCTTGATACCAGGAACCATGGCTCTGTTTTCCCCATGGCACCAGCTCTGATCTGATTTGGAACCCAGTGGTCGGAGTGGGGGTGGGCACATGCCCTTCAAGTTGGAGCAGTAGGAGCGATGGCTGGGGGTGGGAGGATGCCGGCCAGCCGGTAAAAAGGGTCCATGTGGGGCTGGCCCCAGAGGGGTGGGGCCCTGTGCAGATCTGCCAGGCGTGTGTCAGATGGCTGGGTGGCGCTCACCTGCCTCGAGGTGCCAGTTCTCTGCCTCGGGATTGGCCCAGGCCAGCGTGCTCACCCACAGGAACCTTAGAACCTTCCACATACCAAAGGCCTGTCCTTGGCTAGGCATGAGGGGGACAGAGTGCTGGAAAAGCAGGGGGAGAGGCTGGGCGTGAAGGGATATACCAGAACTACTGACATGCCTCTGTGAGCGGGGTGGGTGGGTGGGTATGAGCCCAGCTGGACCCAAAGCCAGGACCTCCCCTCAGCAAGAGCTGGGGCCACCGCCCTCAGCCCTGCCCTGCCCAGGCCCCTCCCCCGCCACGCCCCCCAACTCAGTTCAAGGGTGGGGAGAGGTGGCTGGGAGGAGCAGGTGTGCGGGGCCCAGCCCCGTGTTGCCCGCCCCAGAGCGCCCTGCCAGTTCACCCAGCATTTCCCATCAGGAGGCTCTCGAGCCGAGTGCGCCCAGCAGTGGTCACTGCTGCAGCTCTGCCCTGCTCTGCGGCTCAAGGGTCTTGGCCAGCGAGCGTGGGGGCGGTGCCGGAGCACGGGGGCGGAGCCGTGCGACCGCCAAGCCCCGCCCCCAGACTCTGCGGAACCTCCGGGAGGAGGGGGCGGGTGGGGCGCGGCTGGGTCAGCTGAGTGACAGTCACGGGACCAAGACCAGCTCTGTCTGGCTTCCTGGAGGAGACGGAAGGATGAGCGGGGGTCTCCGAGTGTGGCAGGCCAGTGGTGGGGCCCGTAGTGGGGAGGGTGTTGCCCTGGAGGATTCTCAGGACCGTGGGGTCAGTCCTGGGGCCGGGCCGGGCCAGAGGACAGCTCCGTGCAAGGGTATGGGGAACCCTGAGTTCTGGGTTCTGAGGCCTCGGGGCCCAGGGGAGATGGCTCAGGCAGCCCTGGGGTCCACTGGAGTGTGGGGTGACCTGGGGCACAGAGGAGCCTGTTGGGGAGGTTGGAACCTAGGAAGGTGGGGAGATCTGTGGGGAAGCTGTGTCTCCAAGTCCCGAGTTCCCCCAGGACATGGAAAAGGAGCGAGAGGCTCTGCAGACCTGGAAGGAGCGTGTGGAGCAGGAACTGGACCGTGTGGTGGCTTTCTGGATGGAGCACTCTCACGACCAAGAGCATGGGTGCGCCTCGCCCTTCTGGTGCCCTCAGTAGGGGTCTTTGCCCCTCCTGAGCCCCCACCTCACTGTCAGCTGACTCAGATCTGCTGAGCCCAGCAGAGCAGTGGATCCGGTGGATGCCAGGCCCCTTCCCCCCTTGGCTAATACTGTGCATCCCACAGGGGTTTCTTCACATGCCTTGGTCGAGATGGGCAGGTGTACGATGACCTCAAGTATGTCTGGCTGCAGGGGAGGCAGGTATGGGATGTGCCCAGGCTAGAAGCTCTCCCAGAGGCAGAAGCTGGAGTCAGCTGGGCCTGTCCTCAGTCTGCACGCACGAGGCCGGTCATCTCCACACTACTCCTCCCATGACAGGGGCGCCTAAGGACTCCTCCTCCTCCCAGCCCTGAGAACCCCCGCTGCTCCCCACTTCAGCCATATTCCCTCTACTCCCCCACAGGTGTGGATGTATTGTCGCCTGTACCGAAAACTTGAGCGTTTCCGCAGCCCTGAACTTCTGGATTCAGCTAAAGCAGGTGCCCCCTCCGTGTCCCCATGTCCCCAGAGGCACCTCCAAGTTTACCCTAGTTCCTAGGGAGGTTGAGAAGCAGTGAAGGGGCGGGGGGCGGGGGCAGGGGGCGTCCTCACCTGAGTTCTAGCGTGCCAACTTCCCAACCACCAGGTGGTGAATTTTTGCTGCGTTATGCCCGAGTGGCACCTCCTGGAAAGAAGTGCGCCTTTGTGCTGACGCGGGACGGCCGCCCGGTCAAGGTGCAGCGAACCATCTTCAGCGAGTGTTTCTACACCATGGCCATGAACGAGCTGTGGCGGGTGACTGGGGAAGCGCATTACCAGGTGTGTGGGAGGAAGGCTTCCTTATGAGTCTCCATGCCCTCACTTGAGCTGGACATGGCCACCTGATGCATTCCTGTTCTGTGTGCAAGCCTCCTCCCTGGGCTCTGTCTTCAGGCTGGGTCTGTTGCCAACGTCAACCCGTCCTCTGGGCCCCCATGGCCCCAAGGGCTGCTGGCAACACCCCCCTCATTGTGCTGTACTGTGAGGGGTGCCCCCTCCCTGCAGTCTTTACCTCTGATTCCACACACACAGCACAGAGAGACCAATCTACACCCGGCTCTGGCTGGAAGGGAGCTCTCCCTCCTCCCTGGAACCCCTTGGACTTCTACACCCGACCTCACTGCCTGGGAGTGGCCTGCACCCACAGACTGGGAGCCCCCCGAGGCGGGGTGGGGCAGATCCACCCCAGCCCCCCAGCACCCAACCCAGGGCCGGGCCCAGAGTAGGCCCTTGGTGAAGGTGTCCTATGAGCGGGTGGGAGGACGAGGCTCTCCCACCCCAGGTCAGGACCTGAGGGACCAGACTGCACAGGGGGGCGGCCTCGGCCTGGGCCTCCCCTCGTCTCCCTTTCTCCCCTCCCAGAAGGAAGCGGTGGAGATGATGGATCAGATCGTGTACTGGGTGCGGGAGGACCCGTCGGGGCTGGGCCGGCCCCGTCTCCCCGGGGCCCTGGCCTCCGAGTCCATGGCAGTGCCCATGATGCTGCTCAACCTGGTGGACCAGCTCGGGGAGGCGGACGAGGAGCTGGCGGGCAACTACGCGGAGCTGGGGGACTGGTGTGCCCAGAGGATTCTGCGGCATGTCCAGGTTGGGGGGGGGGACACACCCAGGGGACAGGAGGCTGACGTTCACCTGCCAGATGGGGCCTGGGAGCTGGGGGGGGGGCAAGGTGACTCCCACTCTCTATGTCCTGGGGCACCTCCTTTGCCTACACCCACACCCCCAGCTGGGCCTCGGTGGCCCCCTTGTACAGACGGGGGAGACATGGCGGGGGTGGGGGTGGGGGCGGGGAGCACGGCTGGGGCTCAGGAGCCTAGACCCTGGGAAAGGCGGAGGGCCCGGGGGAGCCCGCTAGGGCCAAGGCCAGGAGGGAAGGTGCCAGAAGCCCTGGCACGTTAGAGAGCAGGAAACCCAGCCAGACCCAAGTTCTTCTGGGCCTCTGTGGGCAGCCCAGCTGACCTAATCTCAGCCCCCATTCAGTGTGTCACCCTTCCCACCTCGGGGGCCCAGGCAAGGGTCAGAACCCATTCAGGCCCCTTGGGCCCCTTCTCAAATGCTCCCCCCCGAGCCAGGCCTGCCCAGGACTGCAGATGACAGAGGGAAGGGCGGGCGGGCCTTTCTGGTGGGTGGGCAGGAGCTGAAGGCAGTTTTACCTTCTCCTCTTCCTCCCTCCTTGGCAGAGGGATGGACAGGCTGTGCTGGAGAACGTGTCAGAGGACGGTGAGGAACTTTCTGGTTGCCTGGGGAGGCACCAGAACCCAGGTGAGGAGTAGAGTAGGCTGGGGGTGGCCCAGGAGGAAGGGAATGCTCAGTGTCGGGTTCTGTGCTTCACATGTCGGGAGTGCCTGGGGTCTGCCTTCCTCCCTCCACCCCCCACCCACTACTGAGGACCAGGCAGAGAAGCTGGGACAGGCCTCCCAGGCTGCGGTGTCAGCAGCAGGAGAGAGAGTCTGGGACAGACCAGGAGGGCAAGCTTTCTGCAGGAGAGTGGCTGTGGGATGAGCTCAGAGCAGCTCCCACGGTTAGTGGAGGAGGAAGGGAGGCACCTGTGGTCAGCACAGGAGGTGGACCCCCCTGCCTGTCGGCGGGGGTCCACTGCCTGCCTTAAGCCCGAGCACTCACCAGGCCATGCGCTGGAAGCTGGCTGGTTCCTGCTCCGTTACGCCATCAGGAAGGGTGACCCCAAGCTTCAAGCTCACGTTATCAACAAGTTCCTATTGTTGCCTTTCCGCTCTGGATGGGACCCTGACCATGGAGGCCTCTTCTACTTCCAGGATGCTGATGGCCTCTGCCCTACCCAGGTGGGAATGTGCCCAGGGCCACATGGTACTAGCCTGTTCCAGGCTTTCTTCCCTGGGAGGTGGGCGCTGTCATCACCCATTTCATGGAGGGGGACCTGAGTCTCAGAGTGACGAACTCGCCCAGTGTGACCCTGGTGGTAAACTCTTGACTTCTAGGCCCGTGGCTCTCAACCTCACGTGCAGACAATGCCACTTCTGAGACATCTGTCCCTTCCATCTCTGAAAGGCTCTCTGGGTGATTCTCAGGCGTCAGTAGCGGGAGCAGATTTGCACCCTTAGGTCTGATGATGCCTCTGCTTGTGTTTTGATCCCGCTGAGATCTGCAGAGGGTGACTGACCCTGCCATCAGCAGGAGCTGGTGTCCAATGGGCTTTAGACAGGCTGACCAGGCAGACAGGGTTTCAATTCCAGGGTTAAAGGGGAGGCCACCCCACCCTGGCCCTTTGGAAGGGGTGGCTTGGGGGTGCATTCTGGTCAGGAAGCTAGTCCCATTCAGAGGGGCCATTCAGACCCTCAGGGACAGCCATCCCGTGATGAAGCTCCAAGTGCTTGGGCCGGCTGGAGTCTGAGCCACGATCTGGAGAATGGGCTCAGAGGGGTGGCAGAGGGTGGGACCCAGGGCTCTCAGACACCTGCCACTGCTCTGCTCTCAGCTGGAGTGGGCTATGAAGCTCTGGTGGCCACACAGTGAAGCCATGATTGCCTTCCTCATGGGCTACAGTGACAGCGGGGACCCTGCCTTGCTGCACCTCTTCTACCAGGTGGCTGAGTACACCTTCCGCCAGGTAAGTGGTGCTTCCTGGTCCATAGCTCTCCCTGGGCTCAGTGCGGGTGCGGAGGGAACAGCAGGCAGCCATCCCTCTCGAGGCGGGCCACAGCCAGGCTCTCTCGGGCTGTGGGAGGCGGCTAGGCCGGGATGGGGAGGCTAATCCCACACTCCCTTCTTCTCCCCGTCACTGGGCATGGTCCTTCAGCTGGCCTGAGTTCCTGGAGGTCTGGACCCTGGTGCCCTCTCTGCAGTCAGCGAAGCAGCCCCTGCCCCTCTGGAGCTGATGTGTGTGTGGGGGGGGGGGGCTGGGGGGTCGACTATAAACACGTAAACACACAAACATGTAGATGGCAATGACAGCTTTGGAAAATAGATCAAGGTCGGGACTGGGGGGCGAGTGGGAGGGAGCAAAGGCAGAAGGGGTTGCTCTGCATAGAGGAGTTACCTTGTGGGATTTAGGCATTACTGGGTCCTGGGAGGAGGGGAGGCTGTAGAGCCCGGGCAAAGGCAGGGAGACAGGTGAGGATGGTGGCCTGGCCTGGGGTGTGAGCTGCAGTGGGCAGAGGGGTCAGTATGGGCTGGTCGAGCAGGAGAGGTCTGGGCTGGCCACGATCGCTTGGGTATCATAAGAATATAGATGATACTGTGAGTTGTGAGGCAAAGTAAGCTTTGGGGTACAGAAGGGAAAGAGAAGAGGGATTAGGAGGGCCCAGCAAAGGAGACAAGAATCAGCTGTGAGGTCGGAAGGAAGCCAGGGGTCCACCAGAGGCCAAGCACTATGAGCAGGGTGATGTACTAGCTGCTGCTTAGGGGGCACCTTGGGCGTCAAGCCTAGTGATGAATGAAGATTCCTGGTGTGTTTCTAAAGCCGGGATCCACTCCATTGGTAGATCCCAGCACAGGAGGGACTATATTATATAGGTGGTCTTATTCTGGGGTGTGTGGGCTTCGAAACCTGGGAGAAAATTACACCTTCATTTGCACTAACCTCTAATTGGAATCCAATGTTCACTTCCACAGTGGTATTAGCAGTGCCAGACTTTGTCATCAAGAGAGATCCTAAATGTGTTCGTAATTACAAGTACTGCGCAGACACACACACACCTCTACTTCCAAACACAGGATCAGGAGACCTGAGGCTATTATCTTAATACTGAATGCATTGATAAGGAACGTGTGTTAGAGGCCACCAGTTTTAACTGCATAAAGTGAAATTTAAAGAATACATTTTATTTAAGATTATTTATTTATTTGAGAGAGAGCGAGCCAGAGAGCAGGAGTGGGGGGAGGGGCAGAGGGAGAAGCAGACCCCCCGCTGAGCGGAACTCTGGGATCATGACCCAAGCCAAAGGCAGATGCTTAATCGACTGAGCCACCCAGGTGCCCCAAGAATACATTTTATTTTTTAAGGAAGATTTATTTATTTTAGAGAGAGTGTGTGCGTGCCCACATGTGCAAGCGGGGGGTGGGAGGGGGCAGAGGGAGAGGGAGAGAATCTCCAGCAGACTCCTCCCTGAGGAAGCAACTTGCTACAAAGTTACATGAAAGGTCAGCACCTCCACCAGGATTCTCCTTGTTACTTTAAATCAGTTTTATTGAAGTACAATTTATACACAGTAAAATATACCATGCGAAGTGTTCAGTTCACTAAGATATAACAATATGCGTCTGTGTAACCACATCTGTGTATCTGTCAAGATGTAGAACGTTCTCGTCATCCCCAAACAGGGTGCTTCTTAGGCCCTCTCTGTAGTGTTTCAAGTCACAGCCTGTGGCCCACTCCCCCAGCGGGTTGTCTAGCTGCACACTCCCATCCCCAGGCAGAAAGAGGAAAAGCCCCAGGCCTTCATCTTAGTCCTGGATGCGTCTCGCTTTTAAAAGCACTGATTCTGGGGCGCCTGGGTGGCTCAGTCGTTAAGCGTCTGCCTTCGGCTCAGGTCATGATCCCAGGGTCCTGGGATCGAGCCCCGCATCGGGCTCCCTGCTCGGCGGGAAGCCTGCTTCTCCCTCTCCCACTCCCCCCTGCTTGTGTTCCTTGGGTCTCTCTGTCAAATAAATAAATAAAATCTTAAATAAAAAATAATGAAAGCACGGATTCTGGAGCCACGTGACCTGGGGTCAGCCCTGGCTCTGACCCCGCGGTAGGGGTGCGGTGGGGACAGTGAGCGCCCCTTTTCCTGGCCTTATGGCACCTGGGAGACTCCTGCAGGCCCTGGCTGTCATTATCTTGTTATTCCAGTTTCGCGATCCTGAGTACGGGGAATGGTTTGGCTACTTGAACCAAGAGGGGAAGGTCGCTCTCACCATCAAAGGGGGTCCTTTCAAAGGTGAGTGGGGGACAGAAAGGGCGGGGGCCGCAGGGGCTTGGGGCAGTCGGCTGCCCCTGGGCCTCCCAACCCGCTGTCCTGTCTCCCCGCAGGCTGCTTCCATGTGCCGAGGTGCCTCGCCATGTGCGAGGAGATGCTGGGCGCCCTGCTGAGCCGCCTCGCCCTGGCCCCGAGTCCCGGCTCGAGTCCCGGCTCCCCTCCCGCCGTACCCCACGCCCGCCAAGGCGCGAAATAAAACTGAGCCTGCTGCGCTGCCGGTGTGCGTTCGTCTGTGGGGTCGCGGGAGGAGGGTAGCCCGGAGTCGGCTGGAGCATTCTAGCCTACGCAGACCCCGGCCCGCCCTGCGCGCCGGGCCGCCCCACCCCTCTGATAGGCCCGCCCCGCGCCGGGGCTCGCCGGACCATTGGCGCTCCCCGCGCCCCGCCCCGCCTCGCGGGCAGGCCCCACCCCCGCCCCGGCCCCCCTCCCAAGCATTGGCCCGGCGGCCGCGAGGGCGGGTTCGGCGGCGCGCACTTCCGGCCGATGGCCGGGCCTGGTGCGCGCCGCCTCTTCCGCCGCCCCCGCGAGTCCCGAGACCCAGCTCCAGCTCCAGCCCCAGCCCCAGCCCCGGCCCCGGCCTGGCCGCCCCGGTGTCGCCTTGGAGAGCGGCGGCAGCTGACTGCGCGTTTACGACCCGCTGGGAACCGCGTGCCCCGCCGCCGTTATGAACATCCGCAATGCGAGGGTGAGGGGCAGGGACGGGAGGCTGTCCGCGCCGCGTGGGTCCGCGGCCCCGTGGCCGCGTGCGCATGCTCCCGAGGGGCCCGGTCGAGCCCCGGGCCGGTGGCCCCACACGCCTGCGGCCTCAAGGCACGGACAGGTGAAGGCCATCGTCCCCGTGGGGCTGGACCTACCGGAACAGGGATGTCGAGGCTCAGTTGCACGGTGTCCCAGAACCTCCTGGCGCTCACGTCCATTCCTGGAACAGATGTTTTTTGTACAGCGGCTGTGCGCCAGGCCTGTGCAAAGACAGTCACAGCGCCCGCCCAGCCCTGCGGGGGTGGGGGTCGATGAGTAGACAGACAGGGAACAGGGTTCTGATGTGGCTGAGGCCTACTTAGGCACCGCAGCCCCTGGCCTGACTGCATTCCACTGCCTGCCTTCCCCGCAGCCGGAGGACCTAATGAACATGCAGCACTGCAATCTGCTGTGCCTGCCGGAGAACTACCAGATGAAATACTACTTCTACCACGGCCTTTCCTGGCCCCAGGTGGGCAGCTTCGGAATTTGGGGGTGGGGAAAAAAACCAGGACAAGGAAAATCCAAGTGGGAGGAGCAGCAGTGGGGTGTGGAAGGAAACCAAGCCACTGGACCTAGAGGTCAGGAGCTGTCACTAAACTGGCCACTTGATCGGTTGCTGTCATGCACACAGTGACAGGCCAGCAGTGGGACCAAGTGTCTGCCAAGGGCTCCTCCAGCTCTGACAGGAAGCTATTTTCTAACTTCTTTCTCCTCCCTGTCACCTAGCTCTCTTACATCGCAGAGGATGAGAACGGGAAGATTGTGGGGTACGTCCTGGCCAAAATGTGAGTCACCAAGGAAGGAGACAGAAGCCTGGTGCCTGAGTTGGGAGTGGATGCGGGGGGGGGGGAGGGTGCACCAACACCACACGTGTCTGGTGGATGCCGCCCTGTATCGGTTTTTCTTGTTTTAATGAATTAATCTACTGATTTTTAGTTCCGTCTTGGGTTTACAAAATCAGTGGGAACTATTGAGTTCCCATACACCCCCTGCCCTTTGACCCCTAGTTTTGTCTATCACTAACACCTTGGAGTACATTTGTGGCAGTTGATGAAGCAGTATTGCTACATTACTAAAGTTCCTGGTTTATATTAGGGTTCACACTTTGTGTTGTACTTTCTGTGGGCTTGGATACCTGTATATAGTAAGTATCTGCTGTTCTAGAATCAGTAGTTTCAGTGTCCTAAAAATCTTCTGTGTTATTTCATTTCTCCTCTCCCCTTCCCCACGCCAACCACCGACATATTTACTTACTGTCTATAGTTTTGCCCTTTCTAGAATGTCATATGGTTGGACTCATACAGTAGGGGGCCTTTTCGAATTGGCTCCTTTCACTTAAGTCATGTGCATTGAAAGTGCCTCCATGTCTTTGCGTGGCTTGATAGCTCAGTTCTTTATAGCATGGTCAGCATTTCCATTGTACTCCACTGACACTGTGCTTGTGTTTTGGCTGCTGCATGGGGTTTTGAGAGTCCCAGCTCTCCCCCACCCTGGGTCTGGGGGAACTTTGGAGCCAGCAGGGGAGTTTGTGCTCCTGCTCTGCGTACGCACCGGGGATGTGGGGTGGTGACTGCATCTGCACCAGGCTCCTTTCTAGCCTCTCCTTTCTTTTGGCTTTAGGGAAGAGGATCCGGATGATGTGCCCCATGGACATATAACCTCGCTGGTGCGTAGGACCCGCCCAGGTTCTGGCAGGGGTGGAGGTGGGCTTAGTTGGGGCAGCCCTTGAGGTTCCTTCCTTCTCCCACCAGGCTGTGAAGCGTTCCCACCGACGCCTCGGCCTGGCTCAGAAGCTGATGGACCAGGCCTCCCGAGCCATGATAGAGAACTTCAATGCCAAATACGTCTCCCTGCATGTCAGGAAGAGGTGGAAGCCAGGGCTGAGGGAGGGAGGAGGGTCGGGGAGGAGATACTGTCTTGATGTGGGTCCTGGGGTGCCCTGGCTTTTGGAGAAGATCTGGGAAGTGGGATTAGTGGGGAGGGGGGTGCTAGGAGGAGGGGCTGGACCTGGACATGCTGTCCCTTTCTGGCCAAGTCTGTGCAGCTCAGCAGTGCCTTGTTCCCCTGCAGTAACCGGGCCGCCCTGCACCTCTATTCCAACACCCTCAACTTTCAGTAAGTAGCTCGAGACTTTTCTAATAGAATGGGGTGGTCCCAGATCTGGCTCATCCAGGCATCTGAGATGGGCTGAGCTGCCTTCCAGGTGGGGGGATGGGGGTGGCTGAAGGAAAGACCTGGAGTCGGCTGAGATGGGAAGCAGGCTGTGGACTCCACACATTACGAGAACGTCTTCTCCAGTCTCTGTGGCAACAGCAGCTGCGTGTTGTGATGCAGGAGAGTGTTTGGTGTGGTTTGCTGTGTCGCCTGATGTCGGCTAGGGCTAGGTGGAGGGCACACAGGCTTCTTGGTAAAGCTTCAGGAGTAGAGGTGAGGGCCCAGGACATGAGCAGAAGCAGGGCCCAAGGTGACCTGGCACCTAGAAGCATCTAAGAGGGACCGGGACAGAGGAGAATGTGGTGCTACAGAAACCTAAGCATGTCCAGGCAGGTAGGGCCTTCGGCAAGAGCAATGGAGGGATCTAGAGTTCTGGGGTGTCCTGGTGGATGAGGGCAAGCCCACTTGGGGACGTGGGAGTCTCTGTGTGCCTGGCACAGGACAGAGAAAGCCTGGCAGGGAAGTGATATGACAGTACATGGTGGCCAAAGCTGCTTGAAAGTGAGGCTGGGGATGGAGGGCCCACAGAGACAGCTTTAGCTTCAGTTTGGTGGGGGATGAAGGGGGACCGTTGGGACGGGCATTCAGGGAGGAATCTTTGATCTGGATATAGATGTCTCTGGTGGCCAACAATTCTGAGGTCTTAGGGCTGCCAGGCCCTCCTAGGCTATCAAGTCCATGCCCCTTCCAAACAGTGGCAAAGTACCTGAGTCTGCACATACATTCCTCCCCCCCCCCCCCCCGGCCGGTGCGGGCTTGGCCCCTAAGCTGCTCAGAGCAGGGGGTCACATGGTCTGGCAGTGACTGACTGTCAGGAACCGAGGCCCCAGCACCCGTCCTCCTTGGTTCCAGTTGCTAGGCGCAGGAGTCAGTCTTCCTTGCTCAGTCAGGGACACAGAACAGGCCATGGAGAGAAGGGGATGGCTAAATTCAGGGCTTCAGCTCATAATAAACCACAGAAACCGATCCTTGTGAGCCAGGTTAGGGACACAGGACAGTGGCAGCCCGCAGAGGCGTAAAGGCACTGGGGGCTACGTACTGCTTAACTGCTGGAGGGCACAAAGGGGAAAGTAGATATGCTGTCCCACTAGCCGAGAATGCCAGAAGGCTGAGGAGAATTTGCCCTCTGATTTGGGTCGTTCTTTTCTGCACCTCCCACCCCCCAGGATCAGCGAAGTGGAGCCCAAGTACTACGCGGATGGGGAAGACGCATATGCCATGAAGCGGGACCTCACCCAGATGGCCGATGAGGTAAGTGTCCCCAGGGGACTGGTGCTGGCACAGCCGGGAGTCCTGGCCCTCTTCACCTCCGTTCCTCAGCTGACAGGTGGGGAGCTGGGCTGTGGCAGGGCTGTAAAGGAGGCTATCGCCCCCAAGACGCCATTCTCTGCAGAAGCCTGTACTGTCTGAGGCGTGATGGCAGAGGGGAGGGAGGAGGCCCTTGGATGTGCTGAGAACTAGGGCCCCCGGGGTTCAGGGGTGACACACAGCTGGGCAGAGGAGAAAGTCAGGGTCCTGCCCTGGCCCTACTGCCCCCAGCAAGTGACAGGTGCAGGCTTCCCCCATCTCCAGCGTGGGTGGTAGGAGAGGGCCCATGTGGTCTGGAGACTGAGGCCCTGTCTCCTTCCTCCTGCGTCTCCCTGGACTCCTGGCGGCAGCTGAGGCGGCACCTGGAGCTGAAGGAGAAGGGCAGGCACGTGGTGCTGGGCTCCATCGAGAACAAGGTGGAGAGCAGAGGCAACTCACTTCCAAGCTCGGGAGAGGCCTGTCGTGAGGAGAAGGGCCTGGCTGCTGAGGATAGCGGTGGGGACAGCAAGGATCTCAGCGAGGTCAGCGAGACCACAGAAAGCACCGACGTCAAGGACAGCTCAGAGGCCTCTGACTCCGCCTCCTAGAGCCTGCACTTGCTCCTCTCCCCACCCTGACACGCCCACTCTGTCCTCGCTGCCCCTCGAGGTTTCACAATAAACTTCACCCAGCGACCTTGGGGAGTTTGTGTGTGCGAGTGTGCACATTGGTGGAGAGGGTGGGGGACTGCCTCTCTCCAGCCCCTCTGTGTCCCTGTGGATATGGACCTCATAGCCTTTTGGCACCGCATGTCCTGCCAAAGCCCAAGTAGGAGGGAAGAGCTTTGTCAGGGATTTAGGGGTGGGGCTCCCAAGTCTGATGGCTTTTGGCACCTTTGGGCCCAGGGGAGGGAGACCCTGAAGTTCTGGAAGCCAGTCCCTGCCAGGGAGGCAGATGTTCTGCCTTCTGAGCCCTGCTCTGCCACTGCTTTGCTGGGCTCCTGCTGCGTAAAATCCAGCTGTTCACTGGGCTTCTCTGTTGGTGTCCTGTCTGGTAATGGCCCAACCAGCTACCCAGCTGCTCAAGCCCTGGCAACTAACTGTCCTTGATTCCT